ACTTTACATGAGTTTTTAAGTTTAAATTTTGGAAAAAATAATCATTTTGAACTCTAATGGAATTCCTATAAGATTGAAAAATTTTTGGTCGAAACCTTTCATACTTTCACATGAGGGTAGTCTAAGTGTCAATACTAAAAAATTTGTGTTCTAAGATTTATTTTAATTTAAATATAATACAGCTTATATTGTTATGATTTATTGATACCAGGTTGATCACTGACCTCTAATACTCTCATTTCAACAATTATTTCTCCTCTGAACTCACTCAAACTAAAAACTTAATTATCATCACCATGGATATTTACTCCANTAATCTTATTAGTGAAAATTATTATCACGTGAATGATTTTCTTGGGGATGACATTGAAAATAAATGGATTTTTAATTATTAGTTGAATTATGGATGAATGAATGGTAAATTATATAATATTATAACTATGCACTGCACTAAAATTCGCATGTCAAATAATGACAAAGCATACACGCTGCTTTTAATTTATGTAATAACTCATTTTCATTATGCTTGGCGAATAAATGATTTCTTTCTTTCTTTCTTTCTTCTTTCTGAATACGAAGATGTCATTAAACTCAAGTACTTGTCGTACTTGTCAAAATATTTGTCGTTCCGCGAATTGGATAGAAATGTAGGGACATTATGCGTAGTTTATTTACTCTTTAATTTTACTGAAATAGGATTTGCACATCACTGAAAATAATAATCTTTTTTTCAATTTTTTGGGATATATTATACAACATTACTACGGTTCTTAAATATTGTGAATGGACTCTTTATAAGGCCCCATTTAAACTTGTTTCGGCTTTACGGGTAGTTTTGTAACACTCTGTATATTATAGTTTGCCTTGAATACAAACTTAGAGTAATAACGCGGAGCCTTTAATACCTTAAAATTGTAAAAGTATCAATTCTTCTAATGAAGACTTCGAGTTAATATCAAAAACGAAATGGGAGCATTAATTAGTACATATCGAGGGGTAAAAGACTATTTGGTTTAAGAGACATTTTCGCAACTTTACATGAGTTTTTATGTTTCAATTTTGGAAAAAATAATCATTTTGAACTCTAATGGAATTCCTATCAGATTGAAAAATTTTTGGTCGAAACATTTGACCTTTCATACTTCAACATAAAATCATCACGCATATCTCTAATAAATAACTTTCTATCTCTAGTAAAATAGAATTCACGTTAAAGCTCAGTTATACGTATAAGAATTCATGTAAAGCAATAAACGTTAGATAAGCTTAAAAGCTCGTAACGCTGGAACCGATGGTTTGGAAATGTACTAGCATAACATTCATTTGAAATGGTTTTCCTATACACATACCATTAACAACAGGAGTGAATAATTTTAAAGAAATTGAAACAATGCGATCGTAAATAATTTTATAGTTAACAAAGTCTAGTCTAGTCTGGCACTAACGAAACACATAGCGCCACTCTATTTATTCCCGAGAGCATTGTGAAAAGTTTGTTGGTGCTAATGGATTCACTAAAGAACAGGCAACAATGTTCTCCATGAACATTTGATATAGTGTTTGAGCATAATCTTAGCCCGCACGGGTAGGTTTCAAAATCCCGCCTATTTCTGCCGCGAAGTAGGTTTAATAAATGAAGCGTCCAGTTAATAATTTGGGTTCACGTCTCAAGATGCCTAATGACATTAACATTGCGCTCTAACCATAGGCGACTACTCAATACCATAGGGTTTTTGTTAGCCTCATTACTGAAAAATAATAATAACATTGCAGTAATCTGAAAACATGAAACGATAAATCAGATAATTAAAACGTAAGATTTGAAAATAACTTTTTTTATAGTATTACTAGCGACCCGCCCTCGCTTCGCTTCGGAAATATTAAAACACACATGAAACCAAAAAAATAAAATATTTTTTTAAAAAAAAAAAGTAGCCTATGTTCATCAGGGACAATGTCGGCTTCTAATGGAAAAATAATTTTTCAAATCGGTCCAGTAGTTTCGGAGCCTATTCGAAACAAACAAACAAACAAATCTTTCCTCTTTATAATATTAGTATAGATGTTCTAGTCGGATGCAAAAAATACTGTCAATTCTGAATGCAAAAAGGTTTGGAATCCATTAGAACTGGATTTAACTAAATGTTTGTATTTAGTAGACAAAATACAAACCAGAGCTTTGGTATTCAATTAACCAGTAATTAATATTTCGAAGATGTAAGACCAGCAAATAAGTTTAATTAAATAAATAAATGTACAAAAGATTGTTTTTTTTTCCGGTCACCGTATCGAAATCGCCAGCCACTGAGAAGGTCCGGCAAGAAACTCAGTGGGCTAAAAAAGATGTGATTAAAATTTTGTAACTGTCTGATTTCTCCAATTCCCGAAGGTTTCTTCATTGTGATCTACTAGAAATACATGAAAGTTCTTGTAAAATTTATTGTTCTTTTAATTACTTAAATGGGTGAAAATAATAATGAGGTTATTAAGAGAGTTTTAACTATTAATCTGAAGAAATTCTTTAGAGCAAGAGGTAGACCTAAGAAAAAATGGATGGATTGCGTGAAAGACGATAAGTGTAAGAGGGGAGTGAGCGAAGAAATGGTATATGATAGAGGAGTATGGAAGGAGAAAACATGTTGCGCCGAACCCAAGTGACTGGGAGAAGGGCAGGAGAATGATGATGATGGTTTATTTATTTATTTTTCATCAGCCACACAATACATATTGCATGCGAAAAAAGAAAAGATACACAATAAATAACAGTAACTAAAAAATTTGGAATGCCATAAGCCATGCCCGCACAACTAATCAGGACAAATGTGCTAAGTACACAATGTTCATTACAACTATAGGACAAGAGAGCACGATAACGAAAACCATTTCAACTTTTAATGTAAGGAAGTAACAATAAATCACAATCAGAAAGGAAATCACATCAAACAATTACACTACCTATTCTACCATTGACATGGAGGATGGTTACTACAATAAGGTGAAGTGTTAGAAACTGTTTTGCCTACAGCTTGCACGGTAGACAGTTTCCCTCACTAATAGAAATAAGCAATGTGCCTTATTAACAAAGAGTGAGTTAGTACGTTATTAGTCAGTTTCCTGTCGTACAAACATAATATTGTTGTAGAGTATCAAAATTTCCAGGGCGAAATAACAATACTTGCGCGGCGACGAATGTAGTGACTTGATTTTGACGAAAATATTCAAATAATTATCGAATATACATTTCTCTGTTTTACATGGTACGATTATTATTTTAAAAGAACAACAACTATACTGGTGGTAGGACCTCTTGTGAGTCCACACGGGTCGGTACCACCACCCTGCCTATTTCTGCCGTCAAGCAGTAATGCGTTTCGGTTTGAAGGGTGGGGTAGCCGTTGTAACTATACTGAGACCTTAGAACTTACATCCCAAGGTGGCTGGCGCATTTACGTTGTAGATGTCTATGGGCTCCAGTAACCACTTAACACCAGGTGGGGTGTGAGCTCGTCCACCCATCCAAGCAATAAAAAAACAAAAAAAAAACAATGCAATTAATTTTGATAACAAGAAAGTAATATTATAAGTTTTTTTTAATTGAGTTCACATAAAAACAATGATTAAAATTTGGTTTATAATAATTTGCTCAAAACTGATGTTTTCATCGAAGAAGCTTATTCATTTCTCTAAAACTATATTTTGTTTAATAAGTTAGTGTTTCAATAGTATAAGTACCTATTGTTTTGTAGATTAATATGATATAAAAGTTGGGAGTAGATCAAAAATATTTTTAAGCGATCGCCTTGTAAGTCTAAAACAATTGGTGACTTTCGCCACTGTTCAAGGGGCCCAGGTTTGATTACAACAAAGTAAAAAGGAGCTTGATATTCGGTCAAGTTGTCCTTATTTTGGTCTCATTCATCTGTTTCTAGTATCCATAGCTCGTCATTTAAAAACATTTAGTTTAGAAATATTTTATAGACATATTTACAGTATATTTTTAATAGTAATAAAGACGTAATTAAAGTCCATCGTGTTTCGTCATTTTCGAAGATGATTGAGAAGATATTTTGCCGGTATCGCAAACTTTCTTCTTCTGATTTTACTTAATTTGTAATAATTGTAATTAAAATGTAATTTTGAGCTTAAACATATAATAATATGTATGTACGAGTATATAATTATGTATGTGTGTGTATTAGTATTTATATACCTATATATATTTATATATTTCAATCGATAGGTGCACCACGTGCAATTCGTTTCCAAATGATTCTTATCCACGATGGTTGTCTAGAAGAGATCAATCTTAGCGATAAGACCGCCAATTGTACATTTTTTTTTGTATTTAATGTTTCGCATTGTTTTTTTTTAGTGTACAATAAAGAATACTCTCTCTCTCTCACTCTGTCTATTTTTAATATATGTAAGTACTCATTTAATGATAATTTTAATTGAGGTCGGTATTAAAGTAAGCACCGAGATTCTTTAGCTGTGAAATTGCATCCAAAGCGACCTAAAAGTTATGACGTTGTAAAAACTTGCGAAAGACAAAAAACTTTTTATACTGCTCATTGACAATCCCTAACGGCATGTTTTAGCTATATTTAAATTGCGCTAAATAAAAAAATCGGTGTTCGGAAGAGCCACCACATACGAATTGACTAAACGTAATGTTCGCACCGATTTGCGCTTGTTTCAATAAAGCGAGCCTGTTCCCCGTTACCCACGCTTCTTATTTACATTACAATTAAATTCCTAGATATATTACAGACGGTTCTACAACTCTAATAACTTTAGGATTAACATTCTGTAAATTACGTTCAGTATAATTTATTGTAATGTTTCGAAATCTCATTCTCGTCTCCGCATTTTAAGTTATGAACGCCAAAATATAATGGTAACGGCTTATTAAATCGTAATTGTAGTAGTTAAATTTGATTGACTCATTAATTTTATAGTTCGTAAGTTTTTTTTTTCGTTTTAAATAAATTGTCACTCACCATTGAAGGAACTCGAGATTCCGATGGGAGATAATTCCATACGTTCAAAAATAACGATCACATAGGCACAAACACGTCCACATCACTTCATTTTCAGTGTGTCTGTCTGGTTACGATCGCGTTTGGGCTGCTCTGGGCGGGCGTGACGATCGCTCCGGTCGGAGATCCGAACGCTTGTGGCCGCTGCGTGCGAAGCCCCTCCCCCGCGCACCCTCCATCCATGGTGCCATCATCTTTGCCGTTCTATTAACATAAAAATATTTTCGCGACCGTATTGCGCAATGCATAGTTGTTTAATTACTAGCTGTAGGGCTAGGGCGTATTGCGAGGCGCTCAGATTAATACGATCCTACATATTTGGACCGCGACTAGTCATTCTATCCGGTGTGAAGGTGGGACAACCGTTGTAAAGTAAAGCTTTAACCTGATGATAGACGGAATCGGTTTTTTATGATACTTGCGAGTTTCAGTAACAACTTATGACGTAGTAAGCCCGTTTGGGCATCTAATCCCAATAACAATTGGGTATGAGTGTGAGTTGTTTAATGATTCCTCTGTAGAGAAAAAGTTTATGCTCTAACTTCTTCTGCTTGCCGTTATTCCACATTTTGTGGGCATCTCGACGTAACATGTGATCTTATCATGCTGCATAGAATGCTCAGGTTATATCTCCAGTAGTATTTCATTTGCAACATGCCATTTGCATTGGGAGGGTTTTTTCTATTTTATTCTTTTAGTGTTTCTATTACTTCTTCCGTTTTTTGTTTAATGATTTACATTTTATTATTATAAGCATTTAGATTTTTTAATCTTCACCAAAAACGATAAAAAATATTTTTTTTTTTTTTTTTTTTTTTTCATTCGTAATCATTTCTTTTTTTTGAGCTAACCGTTGTATTAGAGTAGGTAGCGAACGAAGTATTACGTATACGGTTATTTGACTATTCCAACCTATAAATATAATAGCTATCAGGGTACTACTACCAGTTTAAAAGACCAGCGTTTGTTTTTTGAGTCACTGAGCGTCCGCGACTGTTCGATCCGCTTTTGTTTCACGCTTTTAAATATCTAAAAAATTATCAACTTACATATTTTATAGCTTCGTATATTTTGTACCACTACTACTAAACTACAAATTGGATTAAAATTGCGCAATCCAGAAAAGATTGGCTATCCTTGGAGGAGGCCTTTACCCGAGGTTCTTGCAAGTGGGAAATAATACCTAATATTATTGAACAGATACATTATTTATTAGTTAAGAGTTGCATTAATTTTTGTTTTTATGTCACTTTTTATGTCACTTGTACGAAATAAAAGGCTTTTTATTATTATTTATTATTATTATATTTTGTACGTATAATAATGTCCTTCGCTACTCCTAATCCTTGAGATGTTCTAATTCAAGAACTACCGTGCAATTAATATGCTTCACGAATCCATTACTTTTAAATCTGAAAGGCTCACTCCAGCTTAACCTCAGATCACTACTCCTCTGCACGTCCGCGCTTTGAAAAATCGTCACAATTGAAATATTGTCTAAGCTTATTTTCATTTTGTTCATCGTACTTTTTTTTTCCTACCTAACCTGAGAGCCTTGAGAGGCTATATCAGCGTAACCTTAACTAGTAGGTGAGCTCACGGGGCTCAAACCTGACGACGTTGCTAACACGAACCCTAGTAAGAGCCGTGCTTCGCAGAATCTACCACCGGATAGGAAACGCGACCAACTGAGAAGATCCGACGAAAAACTCAGTAAACTGTGTATGTGGGTCACACGTCGAACTTTTCGAGATTTTCGCCGAGAACGGTGACCATTGCTTACTATACTGAGACCTTAGAAAGTATATATCAAGGTGGGTGGCGCATTTACGTCGTAGATGTCTATGGGCTCCAGTAACCACTTAACACCAGGTGGGCTGTGAGCTCGTCCACCCATCTAAGCAATATTTTTTTTTATTAAAGAATTCATTGACACATGTAGCATAATATTAAGTTTGAAATTGAAATCTCAATTGTAGTGATACAACGACTTATCTACTTTCAAAATATAAATAATAGTTTAAAAAAACTAACAAAATACGCTTTTATAGAAAATCCAACTAAAAAATATAAAATAAATTTTAATAAATTTGAATTAAAAATAGTGTAAGAAAAAATGAAAAAAAGCGTGGGGTGCTTTTTCAGGATATTATCAAAATAACCCTTCTACTCATATCTGATCATAAAATATTTATAACTACTGACACCATGCATTTTTAATTCTAATTTATAAAAATTTATATTCTATTGTTTAGTTGGATTATCTATAAAAGCGTATTTTGTTAGTTTTTTTAAACTATTATTTGTTTTTCATTTTTTAGTTGAATTTCAATTTTTTCAATATATTTTTTTCGTTTTTTTTTTAAGTATGGAATTGTCATCGGTCCTTAATAAGTATACCAAATTTCGAGTTAATCCGACGTTTTGAAAGGGGTCAAAATCATGTTCAAAGATTCCGTTATATACTAACATACATTCGTCTGAAGATAATAAAAGCGTGTTAATAAATAGTCAGTATAGTGCTTATTACCGTTCGAGTTTCAAATCTCGAAAATCGGAATGACCTGTCAAAGACGTCAGCAGTTGTTTACCGAAGCAGCAAGGGAAACGAAATAACATGGATCTCATAAATAAGGCTCTGAGAGAGCGGTCCGAACGTGTATTTTTCTTGAGAGAATTTAGTGTTTTCTTACTAAGCGACCGGGGTCGACGACCTTTGTCAACTAGTTTGACGTGTTGCAGTCTAAGCGTTTTGGTGATTTATGATATGACTGATTTTTTTTTTCAGTTAAAAAACCCACTAATCGTTCGATGAATGTCTGTGTCCGTAGACAGTTCAACCTAAAGCGTATGCCAGCTTCAAACATATGGTTGAAGTCTCAAAGACCTACATATTTATAATAAATTTATATAGTATAATAGTTTTTGCATTTTTGCGACAGAAATGATTCTGTAAAATAAGGAATTGTGCCTTTTTTTTTTTTTTATTGCTTCGATGTGTGGACGAGCTCACAGCCCACCTGGTGTTAAGTGGTTCCTGGAGCCCATAGACATCTATAACGTAAATGCGCCACACACCTTGAGATATAGTTCTAAGGTCTCAGTATAGTCACAACGGCTGGCCCACCCTTCAAACCGAAACGCATTACTGCTTCACGGCAGAAATAGGCGGGGCGGTGGTACCTACCCGTGCGGACTCACAAAAGGTCCTACCACCAGTATAAAGCCTATCAAATTACTATGATTTAAATTATTGTGAGTGAAATTTTAAATGATATCAAATACTTAATTAAAAGAGATATCAAATCTAAACACTCACCTGTTGAAAAATCACCTAAAGAACTCGCTATCAGAGTCTTCGTAAAGTCAACAAAAGTTAATTTATTTGCAATGGCGACCCGTTCATTAATTATTTCAGTTCCAAAAGTTGAATTAATAAGTTTGGCGTAGCAGTCCTATTAAAATTTGAAGTGTACAAAGGGCGCGGAAGAAGTATTTTAAGACATTAAAGACGATTGGTCTCGTTGAGGAGTTGAAATCTAAATTAACAATAAGCCCTTTATGAGCAATAGTTCGTGATGTTGACCATCTAACACCAAAAATCAGAGCCTGAATATTATATTTTGGCTTACATACTTACTCGTTCAAGACAATATTGAGTTATTTAGTTCGAGCTCATCCGTAATTTTGTTACTTTGTAACTTATAACTTAAAACGTCCACATTCAAGACGATGTTATTGGTTGCAGGGTAGGATACCCTGTGAGCCCATATTGTGCTCATGTTGTGAGCACATACGGACAAGTGACGTCGTTTTGCCCATTTCTGCCGCAAAACAGTTAAGCGTTCGTAATAGATGGCGCTGATAGCTGTGGCATAAGACTAACTTGACGTCTCACCGCGGCGGCTATTTGCAATTTATGACATCTTATCTAGAGCCATTGTGTTCATCGATGGCCCGTTTCCAGAGAATTTTTTTGCCACGTACCATCCGGCTTTGGAATGAGCTCTCCTCCACGGTGCTTCCCGAGCACTATGACATGTACTTCTTCAAACGAGGCTTATGGAGAGTATAATGGCTTCGCCAAACAGAAGGCGTAATTAGCGCGCGTCAGAGCTCTAAACTAACGCCGCGCTATGACGCCTAGATGTGTTGTACTACAATGATAATATACTGTCAAACAGAGCGCCAGCGCTATAGCGCTTATAGCGCTGGCGCTATAGGCTATAGCTATAGGCTATAGGCTGGCTATAGCGCTGGCTGGCTGTAACTATACTTGAGACCTTAGAACTTATATCTCACGGTGAGTTTCGCATTTACGTCGTAGATTTCTATGGGCTCCAGTAACCACTTAACACCAGGTGGGCTGTGAGCTCGTCCACACATATAAGAAATAAAAAAATACAATAAAAAATTAATCGTAAAACTAGTTTCAATTATGTACTCCCGACTAAGTATAAAAATTTTTATTTTTGGATTTTTTAACTATCCCAAGTTATTGGAGAAGCTAATGGCAAAGCTCGTATTTGATATCGGAATCTCGATTGTATTTTTTCAAGTTGTCTGAGTTAGAAATTCCGAATATTCATATAATATATTATTATAGTTATATACTTTAAGACAGTTCCTTTAAGAGATTTTTCTTTTTAAGATCACAATCCCTCCAAGCGACTGTTGCAACCCATAGATACCAGATGTGTGCAAATTGTTTCTGCGCAGCTCAAGAAAATTTAATAAATCGAATGAATTCTATCCGATCTAGTGATTCTATTGAAAAAGTTATATAACGCTCAATAAACTGGGCGTTCAACGATGTGACCCATTTTACGCTTTATCCGCTACCAAATTACATGTGATGATTGGAGATAAAGGAATTTTACGTCGGCATTTTAATGTTTTTTTCGCTTTTTTGGTGTTCAACTGATTCTTAGTTACGAAAAGGCGTTAACGCCAAGAAAAATAAAAGTATTTTATTTCGTTTCCTTTTTCATTTCTAAAGATGGGCCGAGCTTGAGAGCCAGCTGGTGTTAAGCGGTCACCAGCACCATGAGGTAGCAGTTTCTATATAGCCTTGTTCTTGAAGCTGGTGTTTTCAAAGCACTGAAATGTCCCTCTTC